ACAAATTAAACTTATTAACTTAATTTAATCATAAACTATTTTATGATTAACTTGTATACTCATCACAACATATTTTATCATCAAAAATGGCCTTTGGTTGGGATCACAATCGGATTCTCAATGATCAAACATGACTGTCGGCAACACGACTCGTGTGACCTCACACGACTCGTGTGGCCTGTCACGCGACTCGTGTGAAAAAGCCGAGGCTAACTTTCATCATCTCCTCTTCCCACACGACTCGTGTGCCTTGTCACACGACTCGTGTGGCTTGTTTCCTTAAAAAAACTCTTAATTTCGAACCGATAACTGACTATCTTGGCCTCGAAATTACTTAATCCTTGGAACAATAACTGATACATCATAATAACTGAGAGGGATATTACAAGCAGGCCATCTCGGAAACGTCTCGCCTTCTTTGCCTCCGTATCCATTAGATTGGGAGCAAAGGATCCCAACCTAGTAAATTCTCGTTCATACTCATCTATTGAACGATTTCCCTGAACTAGCGCCAGGAATTGGCGTTCCATCTCAGCCTTATAGTAGTCAGGGTAGTACTTATCATTCATCATCTCTTTGAACTGGGCCCAAGTGAGATTCTCTTTCTCACCAGGACGCATGCCCCAGTAAGAATTCCACCTGAGACGAGCATCTCCAGTCATTTGCAACTGAGCACAGAGAATGCGATGTTTCTCCGAACACTCAGTAATCTCAAAGATTGTCTCCAGACCTTGGATCCATTCTTCCACTAGACGAGGATCTCCTTGTCCAGAAAACTTCTCAGCATTGTAGCCACAAAACTGGGCAACTACTTCTGCTGAGGTCATCTCTCTTTGACATTGATTCACTCTTCGTGCCATCTGGATTATAAATCCCATGATAAACTTTAGCACACTTTGGAATAATTTCAAGATAAGCCATTATTTCTATACGAGTTATTTATTAACTCGAAAATTTTAAATTTCTCAAATCTAATAGGGAGTAATATGGTATTTCTTAAAATCTTTGATTGAGCATCTTTTCTGATTTCTAAAATTTGGATATCCGAATCCTATTGAGCATAGACTTAGTAATTTGCTTATATAAAAACTTTCATAAAACTTTTAATCAACACTTACCTGGTAGTCGGCGAGGTGTGAGTGTGGTGGGGTCGGTTTTCCTGAAACTGTTTTCTGAACTTAAACTTTTAGTATACGGAGCACTTACTCTAGCTCTGATACCACCTGTAACACCCCGCTCATCAGAGTATATTTTTCGCAACTTTTACTTCGAAAATACTTATAACTTTTTTGAAATCTTTTGCGACTAACTCGGGATGCTACTCAAGCTCATCTTTTCTGGAAATCCATTTATCTTTAAACTTTGTCTAATACTTCTTTAGACATAAAGAAAACAGATTTTAATTAAACTTGCATTTAACTATATCATATTCATACTTCTGAAATGATAAAAACTTGAAATCTGAAATTTATTAGAATGCAAGTTCAAGTCTCAATATGCGTAGCGGCAATACTTAAAAATGTGAATAATTATACAGACATATCAAGTTCATAATAAATGTCCACTTAAAGAAGTGCACGACCACCACCACCACTTCTTGAGCTCACCACCACCACCACTCACTATTTGTTATGTTTTTTAAATGAATGACATTGAATTCAAATGGAATATATTTCGGTCAATCCAAACACAAATGATTATCACGTTGGTATGGACCGAAATTTTTATGATGATAAGATAAGTGGAAAGTAGTTAAGAAGTGGAGATTTTTGTGTGATAGCATCATTACATAATTACCATCACCATCAATCTTTCCATTAAAATTCGGTCCATACCAACGTGATACAAAAAAAGTTCTTGAAATTTTTTTTAAGTCAAACAAATAATATAATCTTTTACGTCAAAAATTTTGTACGTCAAAATTTTAATTCAAAAAAATCTTTCCATCTTTTTACGTCAAGATTTTAATAATAATAATATATATATAACACAAATTAAAATAAATGTTATAATAAAAATCCATATTTATGAATATAATCCATTATGATAAATTATTGAAAAATCACGCAATATAATCCATTAAATGTACTTGATTTAGTTATTGTTAATTCCGTAAATTTTTTTGTTTAAATAAAAACTACAACAATTTTGAATTCAAATGGAATTCAAAGAGTGACACGCGGTCAATAAAAATCTAAACCAATTTTAAATACTGTATATTAATTTTCAACCTTATCATGTATGATGATAAGATAAGTGCAAAGTAGTTAAGAAGTGGAGATTTTTGTGTGATAGCAACGTTACATAATTACCATCTTTCCATTATATTTCGGTCCATACCAATGTGATACAAAAAAAATTGTTGAAAAATTTTTTGTCAAACAAATATTATAATCTTTTACGTCAAAAATTGTTTACATCAAAATTTTACGTCAAACAAATATTTTCATCTTTTTACATCAAAATTCTAAAAATAATAATTTATATATAACACAAATTAATATAAATATTATAATAAAAATTCATATTCATATTTATGAATATAATCCATTATGATAAATTATTGAAAAATCAGGCAATATAATACATTAAATGTACTTAATTCAGTTATTGTTAATTCCATAATTTTTCTTTTTATATAATCTTATATTTGAAATATTTGTTAAGATTTGTATTAATTTATATCTTATATCATGACATTCTACCAATTTTAAACTAATATACAGTAGAAGTCAAAAATAAAATGACACAGGAAATTTACACATTCATGCGACATTTAATAAAAAAAAATATCCAACGACCTTTTATAAGGATAACAAATATAATAACACTAAAATTTATTATAGAATTCGGAATTCAACGACATGGAATGAAATTAAAATTCATAATAATCAAACTCTAAATATCATAAATATCTCCTGCTCCTTGTTAATGTTGAGGGAAAATATCAACATTTTGAGGAAAAATCTCACCATATTTGATAACATGAGTTCTTCTATGAAGCACAAGTTTCCATATGTTGGTTATGATATCCTTCTTCCCATGATTAAATTCAACGACATAGTTGTTGATCGCATACACCTCGCCTTCGTTCAGTACACCTCGAAATGCTCCCATATGTTTGGAACGTATTATCCCTTTAATGAATGTACCCTACAATATAAATTTATAAATATGAATTAAAATATTTTTTAAAATTACATAAATTTGATATTACAAATAAAAATATTTACATGTTCATCATGAAACAGTATATGGAATGCGTTCTAGCTCTCCCGTTAGTGATGCGTTTCAACTATTTGGACTGCTTTCAAGTGCAAAAAAAGCTTGTTTCTCCTACTCACGGAATCGAGTGTATCCCAGACTGGCGACATTTATTATCAATGTGTTCTGAAATTTATCTCTCTTTTTTTTCTCTGTACAATTTATCTCGGTTTTTTTTTTTCTATGCTGTGAATGACGTGAACTTTTTTTTTTTTTCTAAACTGTGAATGACGTGAATTGTTGAGTAGTGGTAGTGCATATGATTTTATACCAAACAACCGTTTGTGAACTCAATATTCGCATAATTATGTAATGATAATTATGGATCCAATTGTGACTAATCCACATATCCCTATAATATCTCTAACCAATTAATTTTTGAATTAATCATGTAATGATAATTATGGATCCAATTATGACTTATCCACAATTCCAATAATATCTCTAATAAACAAATTTTTGAATTGAAGTATGACTTTTTTAAAATTTCGTGTATTATAAATGCAGTAAATATGGTTTCTATATTTAGATTGTCAAAGGTTTTTTTTTTTGGTCAAAAGTTTCTAAAAAGGTATTTTAACAACAACCTTTATATATATATAGATTAGATAACTCAAACATACATTATAGACAACTTTACACGAAATAAAAAATCTAAAAGAAAATATTATAATCAAGTCATTTTTTTTTATTTTGCAGGGTTTCAGTTACTAATTTGAGTGCAATTTTCGTGTTACGATTCTCTCGTTGAGAGCTTGCGATTCTCTCGTTGGGAGCTTCTAAGTTTTTGATCTTCTCTTTTTCTTCCTTTTGCTGTTAATTGTTGGTTGCTATTGAGTTGGTGGGTACTGCGTGATTCCGGTCTCTCCATTATTAGGGTTCCAGAATGGCGGGGCAAGCTAGATTTAGCCCAGACGAAGACATATCCGCACGGTTGGGAGATTTCTCACTATCAGAAAGAGAGGTTAACGTGATTGATATAGCACAAGATGACATTCGATTGAGCGATGATGAATGCCAACGGAGTTTATTCGGGAAAATAATTGGAGACAGGATAGCAGGGTGGTTTGGAGTCAAGAGGGCGATGTCACAAATCTGGAGACTCAATAAGCCAATGGAGGTGAAAGAACTCAGCCCAAATTATTTCCAGTTTATTTTCCAAAGTAAGGAGGACAAAGAAAGAGTGGCAGGCGGTTCGAATTGGAGTTTCGAAAACCAGTACATCATTCTGAGGGACTGGACTACCAATCTGAATAGCAAGCATGAAAGCTTCCAGGAAATCAACCTTTGGGCTCAAGTCACAAATCTCCCTTTGAATTGGATGAGTGCTGAAGTTGGATTGAAAATTGGCAGGACTTTCAAAGATGTTAGTAATGTGGTCATAGCTAACACTGGCAGTCATGGAGGTAAATTGCTGCGTCTTCTTGTGACCCTTAATCTAGATGAACCTATTCCTCGAATAGCTCATATCAGGTTGGGGGACCAAATAGTTAGTGTGGGGTTCAAATATGAGAAGCTTATGAATCTTTGCCATTACTGCGGAAAGATTGGTCACTTAGACCGCAGCTGCCAAAGAAGGATGCAAGACATTAAGAACAAAACTCTCAAGGATGGTCAATATGGTGACTGGTTAAAGGCCTCAGATAGTATGAGATGGCCAGGAGGAAGCTCAGGCAATAGAACTTCCCCACCAACCTCCCCATCAAACTCAGAACCAAGACAATCTCACAAAGCATCTACCAGTCAAACTGAGGCAGGAAACCACCAACTAATTCCTGTACACAATGAGCCTCAAAAGCAGACAATGGAAATCACTGATAACCAGGATAACAATTTCTCACCAGACCATTTAATCCCAGCTACTTCTATCTCATCCTCGACAAAAACTAAAACTCCAGAAATTGGGCCTTCTGCACAATTCAATGATGCCAACCAAGTTTCTGGGCAGCAGATGGATTTGTATATCCCAGTGGAAGAGGATCAGTCCACATTAAAGAAAGGGAAGATGCTCACCATAACAGGGCCAGCCAAAACCTGGAAAAGAATTGGGGTCAAGACAGGAAGACTACAAAGGGAGCCAGTCACACATACACCTATTCTTATTGACAGCATTTCTGGTTCTAAGAGGGTATCAACAGATAGTGAGCTACCAGCATCTTCAAAAGAGCCAAAGCAACAGAAACAAGGTGAACCTGCAAACCAACTCTTTAATTCTGATAAGGTGGGGGCTGCCAGCCTTGAGTGGCACCCAAGTTGCCAATGTTAGCCATGGTGTGGAATTGTAGAGGGCTGGGTGGGCCCTCTACAATTTCCCAAATCAGAGAGTTGATAAAAACTCATCACCCCAATTTTCTTTTTCTTTCTGAAACAAAAAAATCCAAAGCTTTTGTTTGTACAGTTAGTAAAAAAATTAGGTTTTGAAGATAGATTTACCACTATGGATCCATCTGGTCTGAGTGGTGGGTTGGCTCTATTTTGGAAAGGTCATGTTGTTGTTCAGCAAGTGGTGTTAAAAGAGTTCTACATCGCTGTTCAATTTGTTATTCATTCTGAACCATCTCAATGGGGGGTATTTGTTTATATGAGTCCAATCAGAGCGGTCAGAGCAAGTCAATGGGGGATTTTGATGGGAGATAAAACCTCTTGGGGGAACAACTGGTTTGCAATAGGGGATTGGAATGACATTCTGTCACACACAGATAAAGCTGGTGGAATTCCTAGAACTCAAAGCTCTTTTTCAGGATTTGGTAGCTTTGTGAATGGTATGGCCATGGAGGAGATAAGAATGGAAGGACCTCAGTTCACTTGGTGCAACAACAGAGCTGCTCCTGACTTGGTAGAAGAAAAACTTGACAGAGCCTTTGCTTCTCTGGAGTGGAATCAGAATCACCCAAATGCCACCATTCTGAACAAATTAAGGAGTGCCTCTGATCACTCTGCTCTATTGTTGAATCAGGGTCTGCCTAGAGAAAAGAGGAAAACCATGTTCCATTTTGACAAGAGGTGGTTAAGCATGGAAGGCTGTGATGTGGTGGTCAAGAATGCTTGGTTAACAGAGGTGCAGGGGACTTCTTTCTATCAGTTGAAGGAGAAAATTAAAATTACAAGGATTGCTCTTCTTAGATGGAGTTCTGGTTTCCACTCTCAAAGACAGGAGGAAATTGCAGCACTTACTCAGAAGCTGGAAAGTCTAAATGAAGATAAATCAAGTATTGATTGGGAAGAATGGGAGTCTACCAGAAGAAACCTCAACTCAGCACACAAGCAGGAAGAACTCTTTTGGCAACAGAAAGCTAAATCCAAATGGCTGAAAGATGGTGATGCTAATACCAGGTTTTTTCATGCACTAACATTTCAAAGAAGGAGGAGTAATGCAATTACTAGAATAACATCTACTCAAGGCAACACTTACACAACTCAGAAGGAGATTGAGAGGCACATAGCTGAATTCTACCACAATCTTTTCACCACTGAAGGCTGCTCAGGGGGTGACACTTTGCTTCCTCTTATCCCTACCTCAATAACTGAAGATATGAATCAAGCCCTCCTTAAGCCTGTGGAAGAAGAAGAAGTTCATTCCTCACTTTTCAGTTTCCATCCTGATAAATCACCTGGGGAAGATGGGATGACTGCAGCATTTTACCAACACTTTTGGAGCATAATCAAATCAGACCTCATTGCAGCTGTTCTTAGCTTCTTTCAGACAGGTATGATACTCAAATACTGGAACCACTCAGTCATCTCCTTAATTCCTAAGCACCAGAATCCTGAAAATATGGGTCATTTCAGACCCATCAGTCTATGCAGTGTGGTCCACAAACTTATCTCTAAAATTCTTGCTCAAAGGCTTAAAGTTTGTTTATCTCAATGCATAAGTGGTTTTCAAGCTGCATTTGTTGAGGGCAGGCAGTTGGTTGATAATGTTATCATTGCTCAGGAAGCTTTCCACTTCTTAAATAGACATGTTTCTGGTAAAAACTGTTTTATGGCTATTAAATTGGACCTTATCAAGGCTTTTAATCGTGTTGAATGGAGCTGTCTAAAGAAAATCATGTTACAAATGGGTTTCCACATGGATTTTGTCAAGTTAGTCATGATGTGTGTTTCATCTGCCACTTTCTCTTTTAAAATTAATGGCTCTCTAAGTGGATATGTGACTCCCACCAGGGGTATCAGGCAAGGGGATCCTCTCTCTCCTTATTTGTTTATTATAGTGGCTGAGTTGCTTTCTGCCTTAGTGTTGCACTCTATAAGCAGTGGTCAGTTGAAAGGGATGAAAGTTTCCAGAAATGGCCCATTACTCTCTCATCTTTTATTTGCTGACGATTCTTTGATTTTTTGTAAGGCTGGTATTAATCAGGCTGGGATATTGTTGACTTTATTGGAGAAATATAAACTTTTCACTGGCCAAGCAGTGAATTTACAAAAATCGGCCATTTTCTTCAGCAAGAATACACCACAGCACTTGCAGACTTCTATTTGCTCAGTTTTGAATGGGATTGCTTCTCACAGATCCACAAGGTATTTGGGCTTGCCCTTGGGGATAGGGAGATCAAAGAAGGAAGTTTTTGCTTATCTCATTGAATCAGTGAAGTGTAAACTGCTTAGTTGGAAATCAAAACTTCTAAGTAATGCTGGCAAGGAGGTCTTATTAAAGTCTGTCATCCAAGCACTCCCAACTTTTACAATGTCTGGTTTTAAGCTGCCCATTGCTCTATGCTCTGAAATAACAAAACTTTGTGCTCAGTTCTGGTGGAGAACAGGTTCTGATCAGTCTCAGGGTATTCATTGGAAGAAATGGAGCTGTCTGTCACTACCCAAACAACAAGGTGGTCTTGGCTTTCAGGATTTGCTTTTGTTCAACAAGGCATTAATTTGCAAACAGCTGTGGAGAGTGGCTTCAAATCCAGATCTTCTAGTGAGCAGGCTTCTTAAGGACAGGTACTTTCCTCACTCCTCTATTGTTCATGCTAAAAAGATTCAAGGGGGCTCTTGGATGTGGAATAGCTGGATGGATGTACTTCCTATTTTTGCAAAGTGTATGAGAATTGAGGTGAGAAATGGGTTAAGTACTAGAATTGTTGATTTTAACTGGGTGCCTCATTTATCAAAACCAACTCCCACTTTAATTCCTATTGCTAGAGACCACTTGATTTGGGTCAAGGATTTGATGCTTGCTGACACTAGTAGATGGAATGAATGGCTCATTAGGCAAGTTTTTGATGTTGAGGATTGTAATCCTATATTGGGTATTTCCTCTTTGAATGCTGATAGAAGTGACAGGTTGTACTGGGGGCTGGAAAAGAAGGGATACTTCTCTGTGTCTAGTACCTATAAGTACATGTCCAATCTTAAACTCTTGCAAGTTGACTGGCCTGAAAGCAGTAATGCTGCTGCAGTTAATAAGAAAGTGAAGTTCAGGTTCTGGAAACTGAAAGTGGCAGGTAAGCTGAAATTTTTTCTGTGGAAGTGTTTGTCTCAAACTCTACCAAATGCTGTCAATCTTATTCATAGGGGAGTTGAGATGGATACTACCTGTTCTGTATGTGGTAAGATGATGGAAAATACTGAACATATTTTATTCAACTGTCCAAGAGCAATGAGATGCTGGGAGATAAGTCCTGTGCAATGGGATGGCCTTAGAGATAGAACAGCTTTCTTTTCAGATTGGTGGTATCATGTTTGTTCCCTGGACAACTCTGAAGTAGCTGAAGCCCGTATTCAACTAACAACCTATATGCTTTGGTGGCTTTGGAAGGCCAGGAACATCTGGATTTTTCAAAGGATTTGGCTTCCTGAACATGTGATTGTGAAGATGGCTTTGTCTGACTGGTTATCTTTCTCTTATGCTTCAGTTTAGGTTCTTTTCTTTCTCTTGATTTTCTTTGTATTTTGGTTTTCTGACTTGATTTGGGGAAATTTTCTCCTGGCTAGGCTTTTTTAGCAGTGGTTGGGTTTGTTCCCTTAGATCTTTGGTTAGTTGGTTAGTTCTCCGAGTTTGGTTTGGTTTGTTTTAGTTTGCGGCTTTAGACCACCTTTGGTGCGTCTCTCAGTTTGTATTTTCGATGTTGTTTGGTCCTGTATTCGAACGGTGTTCGCATTTTATTTATATAGCCATCTCTGTCGTTTTGGGAAAAAAAGAAAAGTTACTAATTTGACAATAATTGGGCACAATCATTTTTTTGGGTTTCCAAATTTCACACAACAGTAACTGCACAAACTCAAACATCCAAACCCTAGTGAAATTATAAATTAAATTAAAAAATAAATGATTTTTCACATACAAACATGTTTAAATTATTAAACATGAAGAAGCCACAAATTGAAGATAGGTGACGAAATATATCTCATGGTGGAGCGACCCGGCCCTCGCCGGCCTCGTGATCACCTGCCACTGATCTCCGCCGTTCTACCCAATCCCCGCCTTTGCTCCAATCACCTCGAGTGGCAGCGCCTGATGGAGTCCTTGGCCGGGACCACGTTCGAGATCGTCGTCCTCCTTTCCGGAGAAGAAAAAAAACAGAAATCGTAACATACCGTTGAATCGCAATCATAGGTGCAAGATCTTCTTTTTTTTGGAGGAGAGAGGGTAACAAAGAGGGCAATGAAGGAAGAAAGTGAAAATAAGGGGCAAAATACAAAGTAATATGATTTTGTGTATAAAAATAGTTTAAACCAAACAAGTTAATAGAATATAGGCTCTATATTTTGGTGGTCCAAAATAACAACCAAATAAAGGTTTTAGTGTGATAAGGACATAAGGATTAGTTGGGCCTTAGCATTATAGATAGTATCAAGTTCAATCAGTTTTTGCAAGCAACCTTACCTTTAAGGTAAACGACCTGATGGGAAATGGGCATTTTACAACTATTTAATGTGCAATTAGTTGTAATCTTTTGGAGATTTTAATATTATATATCGTTTGGTAAAAAAAGTACAAATAAATTAATAACACACGCCCTCGAGTAGATACAATTATCATGCATACATAGGATATATAAATTCTATCCCGACGAAAGATATGTTGCGGGCTATAATCTTTTTTTTTTTTCAAAATAATTATATAACACAACTAGAAAATACAACCAACCAATCAAAACCAGATGAGTCGGATGACTCGACCGTTGAGTCCCACGGTACTTTTCCTACAATTCATCCAATGAACACTTCTATAATGAAGATGACAGGAAAAGGAAATCCCGTCACTACCCTCAACCTGTCCCGCTCATACAAGTCTCTGCAGCGTACTGTAGGAAGAGCATTGTATTATGATCTTGGTATATGCTCCCAGAATCTTCTTCTTATCCTTTGCGCCATTTCCAAATCTTTTTCCCGTACAAAAACAAGGCACAAGCTAAACGCCACCCAGTATTACCCACTTTCTCTCTAAACCTCTAGGTAATGGCGGCACATAGTAGTTCTCCGCTGTATCACAACAACCTCTTTACCTTGAATTCGAAACGCGCCAATTCGATGTTCCTCCTCCGGAACTCCTTTTCTCACTCTAATTCTCCCAACTCTCGATCCTCTTCCTCTTTTGTACCCTCTATCAATCAGCTGCCGTTAGTCTCAAGAACGACGGTTTCATGTGCCCCCGTCACGAGGGTTTCCACAGTGCCGGTGGAGTACTCGCCGCCGGCGCCGGAATCCGGTTTTTTTATGCAGGAAATTTCTCGGCTGAGAAGGCTCAGAGAAGCTCTAGCTTGCTGCCAGACATTGGCGGAGAAGTCGAGGGCCATTGACTCCGATTCTCGAGTTGAGTCGTTTGTGAGGTTGCGTGGTAATGATTTTGTGGTGGGGAGTCTGAGTGAGCACGACATGTATTTGTTGAAATGCGTGGTGGCAGCTGGCCAGGAGCATGTGCTGGGTGAGTTCGGGAGAGGTTTGGACGGTGGGGAGCTTGAGGTGGGGAGGGGTTCTATCAAGAGCACCCTTTACGCGTTAGCGGAAATGATTGATAATTGGGATGGCCATGGTGGTGGTAGGAGAAAAGGTCTGAAAGACGAAGACAGAAAAGCATTGAGGTCGCTGCTGAAGATGCTTGGAGATGTTGAGGAGTTCTATGACTGCATTGGTGGAATAATTGGGTTTGTATTGATGATTATTTGCATTACTTGTTTTGCAAAAGACATAATTTTTTTGTTTTGATATTTTTTATATCTGTTTGCACTAACAATTTGAATGTTACCATTTGCCTGGTCGAATGTTGAATAGTGAAAAGCCCTTATACTTGTGGCTAGCTTGGAAAAGGAAAAATATATTTGAGATTGATTTCTTTTTTTATTTTTCTCATGAAGAAGCTATCTGTTTCTCATTTGTATGGTTATTAGGAAGAGACAATAAAGCTAGATTGGCATTTGCTAATCTCATTAATTGCTTAAACATCAAGTATAGTTCACACAGTCTATATAGGTAATATGCAAAAGGCTGCCAATGTTTTTTTTTTTGTTTTTTTTTTGTTTTTTT